CAGGGTGTGAAAGATCACGTCAGAAGTGTGGTCATTCTTGAAGCGAACTTTTGCTTGAATTATGGTTTGTTTCACCTTTTTCAATAGCTGCATTTATTTTGAGAATGCACAGTTTCTAGCGCGTGCAGTAGCAGCAGCGGCAGCCTCCCCCGTGTCCAAGTGCACGTCCAGTAAGGCGTTTTATTTACTTAGGGGGCGCTGTTGGCCTACTTGTAATAAAATTAAAGTAAAATACACAAATGCCATTATGATACTTGTGTTTCTGAATAAATAATGCAGTATCGATATCATAAAATCACGATTCTGTTTTGATTTAAAGGTCAGAAGCTATAGCATACATGAATAAAAATGACAAGCATGACACTTGTAAATTAAATAATTCGATAAACAGATTTATTCAGTAACATGTAATATTTTTTTTTTCAAATGGATTATGAAAACTTAAATATTAGGAGCTCTAAAAGCTCTAAACTTTTAGAATTTTTACAGCTCTTTGGCTTTAGACCATCTATTAATGTTAAATCCACAAATAAAATGTTAAAGTTTCAACTGCTGCTGTCTGAGAAAAAAAAAAACACAGCAGAGATTGATTTTATTAGTAATTTTCAAGGCTTTCAATGTACTCTCATTCAAAGTTTATTACTTCTAACAAATAAGTTTTTGCTCGAAACTAACCAAAATTAAAATAATTTGTTTATAATTTTCACACAAGAGAGACTTGGTGTTTTGTTTTACAACAAAGGGAAATATATATATCGGTATCGGCATCGGCTATCGGCTATCGGCCAAAATGATTTGAAAAATATTGACAAAAATATAATCTTGCGCATCCCTACATAAATATTTGTTTTTAACTCATTTGGAAAATAGGTTTCCTTGTGTTTTGTGCAGAAATTATACATGTTTTTGTATGTATAAGAAAATTATATTTGCAGAGTTTTGAAATACCTTTTTTTTTTTTTTTTTACAGAAAATCCAATCAACATTAAGACCAGTTTCTTATTCAGCTGTAATAAATATCAGTTTTTTTTTTATTGTAGAATTTGTACCTGATCATTGTTGTTGTTCGTGAGAGTGTTTGATGAGCCTCAGTGCTGACGCTCCTTTCCAAAGTTAAAAATGCCACTGGGCTTATGAGAGCTGACGAGAGAGCTGATTTACCTTAGACATGGAAAAATGTCAGGCAATATCTTCAGCCTTTCAAGAACACAACAGAGAGAAATAGCCTGAGGAGTTACTAATGCTTCCGATTGAAAATAGGAGCTCCATGTGGTCCGGTACTCAATGACTTGATCATCTTCACTCGAGCCAAACATCAGCACTAAATAATCACTGACGATACATGAAGTCCAGCCGATCACAACTGATGCCCAAAGTAGTCCTGTTATCCATGTGGAAGCATCATAATTCTCCCTGAAGGATTCTTAAATGAGTAGTTCAAACTGTAAATAACCCACATGTTTTAGTACTTCAAAAGAAATCCAAAACAGTCCAGGTTTCTTCATCCTAATGGACCGTCCCATCTCAAGCTTGTATAGGCATGTACAGTATATAGTGGAGACTGGGGCAAGTTGTCACAAGGTCCATATCTCAGTCACTGTGAGGTTTTGCGCATACGGTGAGCTTCTCCAGCAGTGTTTGATGTTGATTTCAAATATCCAGTTCATATGATACAGTTACAATCTGATATCCACTACCGGTCAAAAGTTTGGGATCAGAACGATTTTTAATGTTTTTTAAAGGAGTTTCTTATGCTCATCAAGGCTGCATTTATTTGATAAACAATACAGGGAAAAATGTACTATTGTGAAATATTATTATGATGTAAAATAATGTTTTTCTATTTTAATATACATTAAAATGTAATTTATTCCTGTGATGCAAAGTTGAATTTTCAGCATCATTACTCCAGTATAAAGTGTCACATGACCTTCAGAAATCATTCTAATATGCTGATTTATTATCAGATCTGGAAACTGTTGCTGCTTAATATTTTTTTGGAACCTGTGATACTTTTTTTCAGGATTCAGTAAATGCTGTTCTTTTTAACTTTTTATTCATCAAAGAATCCTGAAAAAAGTATCGCAGTTTCCAAAAAATATTTGTCAGCACAACTGTTGCCAACATTGATAAATCAGCATATTAGAATGATTTCTTAAGGATCATGTGACACTTTAGACTGAAGTAATGGCTGATGGAAATTCAGCTTTACATCACAGAAATAAATAATATTTTAAAGGATATTAAAATAGAACCCATTATTTTATATTATATATATTGTTATTTTATGTAATCCATAAATGATTATTATTATTGGCCAAAAATAGTTTCCTTTTTTTTATCTTTTACATTTTTGATGTTTCATTCATTATTTTGTGTTTTAAATTTTGAATGTTTAAATGTTGGGGCAAATTGTCACATGTATTATATTATGCAGTCTATAAATTATTATTATTTTGACAAAAAAATTGTTTGATATTTTTATCTTTTACATTTTTACTGTTTAATTAATTATTTTGTGCTTTAAATATTTACATTTTGCTGGCAGATTCCTATTAGGGCATGTTGTCACATGTTGTTTTTAGTATAAATGAACTGTGTACTTTTTCTGAGCGGTTTACTTGCAACCGAGTCTCTATGTGGTCATGCAGAAATAGATGACTTTCAGAAATAGACCTACCCTGAGAAATATTTCCTCTATATATATGCACAGTGTGGATATATAATAAATATTTATGACGAACACTGAACACACTGAAGCAGGTCAAGAGTTCAGTATGAGCGCTGTGGTAAGATTAGTGTGATGCATTACAGCACATTTTTAAGTTGTGCTCTCTTCTGAGTGTTTACTCTGTAGTACAACGCCAGAGATTTATGATTGGAGAACAATTTTCTCCTTCACGGCATGTGTTCAAACAAGAGCTACCGGTTGAGCTAAAGCCCTTTATTTCAGTGACTCTGACATCAATCAAAATACCAGAACAACAGGCAGAATTCAGCGCGAAGCGATTAGACAGAGCAGCTCATCAGATTGCTGTCTGGATTCATGCCATCTCACTCTGAATGCTGCTTTTGTTTGGTCACTATATTCATATTAAACGATAACCCCCATTTCTCTTTGTATGAGTGCCAGTGTGCTGAGCTCTTGAATATACAGTGATCCTTTCACCTGAACTCCACTCACTATTTAAACCGCTGACACGCTTTGTTATCTTCAGGAATTTGGAATGCTTTAATTGGTGCCTTGTTCCATCCTAAATGTCATGAAGTGAAATGTAACGACTGATTTATCAATACAGCTCTGCATAGAGACATTAACAAGCTATTTTTGGTGAAGCACGTCAGGAATGACAGATTAATTGTATTCATTTGACTCCTTCCTTGTTCATGTAACCCCTCTCTCCCGGGTCAGATCAGGGGAGTGAGGTTTACCTGCACAGCACTTACTCGCTGGCCTCCGTTACACTCACCCCCCTAATCCTCACTCCCATCCGGGTCACGGCACCAATGTAACCCCTCTCCCGGGTCCTCACCGCCACACCTCGTTCTTGTTCCGAGTGGGTCTCGGACCCGGGTCTCCGGCATGGGAGGCGGACGCACTAACAAGGAGGCTAAAGACTGCAGCCTCTAGCGTCAGTCGCTAGTGCGTCTCTTGAGATCAGGGGAGTGAGGTTTATCTGCACAGCACCTACCGCTGGCCTCCGTTACATTCAGATTAATCAGACTGCAGAACTTTTGCAGTTAAATGAATAGTTCACTCAAAAACGAACATTTGCTGAAATGTCCTCACCTTCAGGCCATCCAAGATGTAGATGAGTTTGTTTCTTCATCAGATTTGGAGAATGTAGCATTGCATCACTTGCTCAGCAATGGATGCTCTGCAGTGAATGGGTGCCGTCAGAATGAGAGTCCAAACAGCTGATAAAAACATCACAAGTAATCCACACCACTCCAGTCCATCAGTTAACGTCTTGAGAAGACAAAAGCTGTGTGTTTGTAAGAAACAAATCCATCATTAAGATCTTTTTAACTAAAATACGAGTCCATAATCCATAACAAGTGGTCTGGTCTGAATCAGGAGAGAAATCTGCACAGATCAAGCACAGTTTACATGCCGAAAAAGCGCTAAACAAATGTTATAAAGTGGATTCAGATGTGCGAGACGACAGGGGATGGACTTTTTCACTAGAGAAGCGTTATGAATTATGCTCGTATTCTAACCAGAAGCAACGGTTTGAAGTCGAAAAGGTCTTAATGGTCTTAAAGGTCAAACACATCTACATCTTGGATGGCCTGAGGGCGAGTACATTTTTATTTTAACTGAACTACTCCTTTAAATGCAATGTCTTGGTCTGGCAAGTGATATAAAACATTTCTATGTCAAACTTTCCTCCACATTAATGGTGATCCTGGCCAGGTGCCGTAGTCGTGTAAACACACATGCATGCGTGCCAGGGTCTTTTCTGATATATCCAGTCAGACAACCAGCACGAATTCCACCTGGACAGATCACCTCCCAAAATGAAACGCATGTCAGGACAAGCATAATATTAAACAGTAGGATTGAATCCGTTTTCTTTACTGCCATCCGTGGCTTATGATGTTTGAAGAGTGCATGTAAATCAGTTAGATTTACTCTTTATCACGTCAGAGAGGTTAATATATCACGACATAACATTTTTGATTTCAAGTCATTGTGATGCATTCTCCGCCAAGCATTTCCGCAAGACATAGACATGAATCAGTCCGGCTGCTGGTGTAGTGTTTAATCTTCAAAACAGAAGCACAGTCAAATATCTAGAACAATAAAACATCAAAATGTATAGCATCTTTTCCTCGAATACACAGAGATTTATATCTTGATACACAGATTTCATTCCAATAAAGTTTGCCATCAAAAACCTGACACACGTGTAGTGCCATCTATTGGAAATACAAATTTTTTTTTTTTTTAAATGCATTGAAAAATTAGCAAAGGATACATAATTAAAATGCATTGAAACACATGTAAGTACTAAAAATATGATTAAAATATTTTTAATATTTATTAGTTAAAGTTCTGTTCAAACAGGCTTACTTTGAGAATGAATATGGGTCCATATAGACGACGGGCGCTGAGGGGAAGGCTGCTAATTAATTTGGAAAAAGATTGTGTGTGTGTGTGTGTGTGTGTAATCTCTGTGTGTAATAGGATCAGTCTTACATGCTGGACAGCTGAGCCAAATTCCCAGTGACTTACATTAATCCCATAGTGTAGTGAAACGCAGCAGGTGCCGCTCTCACCTAATATACTTTCTTGAAATCAATCACTGTTCGCTGCTGTACTGAGAGTCACCGCATGAACACAAGCTTCTCATACTCTATTCACCTCTGTATACCACAATATTTTTGTCCGTTTCATATATTTTGATCTCATACAGGCTGTCGGGCGGGAGAAGCTTCACCATACTGTCCCAAATAAAGACTGACAGGTTTTCTGTGGTGCTGCATGACACAAATAAACATGGAAATGTCATTAAAAGGACTGTATTGTGACAGATATGTGGCAGAAAGAGAGTCATACCTGACAACATCAGCAAAATACGGCACATCCAGATCCAGATTTTTATGGTCAAGAGGTTTCATGATGGCCTCCTAAAAACAAACATAACTTATTAACAATGTTCGCATATTTAGCCCTTGTACATGTGCATATCTGTACATATATGATTTGCTATAATAAAAATTACATTTAAAAATCTGAATAAAATACAAATAACAAATATGACAATGACTTAAGATAGAATTTATTTGTAAAATCAATGTCTAGTTATGTTATATTAACTCAAATATAAATAAGCTATTTTTATTTATTGTTAAGTGTACAGATGACCGTACCTCAATATACTCCTTCAGATCAGTAAGGTTCATTACCATTCCTGTGTTTCTGTCAATCTATGAAAACAAATAACCATTTTATACATTAAACAATTCACAATACACCAGATCCTTTAGTATTAAAATGTGCATTTATTTTTACCTAACATGGTTGTAACATACCTTTCCACGAACTGTCACTTCAACTAGAAAAACATAAGTAACAAAAACTTGTTTACGTGTGTGCATGAATGAAATACATGAGACATAAGCATTACTAATGCATGTGATCATGTATAATAACTCACCTGTGTAGTTATGACCATGGCCATTAGGATTGTTGCATTTTCCAAATATTCTTTTGTTCTCCTCATCACTTAATGATTTGCTAAAATAAAAATTGTATTAAAAGAATTAATAATAAGTAACGAACCCGCACACTATCAATACTTGCTAATTCTTAAACTTTTCGGTCCACTGACCTTCATCAGGCAAATGCAAAAAATATTGCTAATTAAAAAAATTAATAAAAATTAATACAACCACCACCACCACTACTACTACTAGTTGTTATTATTATTTAAATTAATACTTTTCACAATGACTTAAAATAAGCAGCTGTTAACATTTAGTCAGGCTGGTGAAACTACATTTCCCATAATTCCTTCGTGTTGACGCAGCATGTTTCGGTCTTCCTGCAACAGTTTGCAATTCAGACTGATTGTTGGAATAATGTGCATGAGTTCACATATTGCTTGTTGAAATGAGAAAGGTTCACAATGCGAAGTTACGACGACAAACGCAGCGTTCAACGGATGTATGCAGAGCTGTTCTGCGATATCGACATAAAACCAGACACACTACCGACCACAAAGCGCGTTAGTGGAGGTTAGAAGGCAAAACCGTGGTTTATTTGCTCACACACAGTAACTTACCTGTGTAAGCGATGGCAGGCGCTGAAGCTCTGCACGCGCGTGATGAAACCGATGCGCTCAGACATGATGATGATGATGATGATGAAGATGATCAGGAGCGTGTGTTTATGATGCTTTACAATCACAGCTGCACTGCGCTGGCGCTTCACGCTATAATAGTATACATTTCATGATTTTCAGTTCAATTTCAGTTTACTGGAGGCGTGGCTTCATCAATCCGCCCCCATCTGCATGACTGCTCATGAGCGTCATGTGTCTTCCAAAATTTCTGTGACAAATGTCATATTATTCACGTTTTTTGTGCATTTTATAATATACAATAATATCATTTAATATTAAATTAAAATGAAATATTATAACATCTAAATTGTAAATATAAATACATTTAATTAATGTATACATTATTATTATAAAACATATTCATTGTTATTAATATAAAAAATTGTTACCGCTGTGCAAAGAGCATAAATAATCCCATTGCAAAATATGGATACTGATAAATATAGCCTACAGTAAATTCGTTTTGTAACAACTACCTTATTGTGATTTAATCAAATATTATTGTCCATATGTTGATTGTGTGTGTGTGTGTGTACACACACACACACACACACACGCATGTTGTGTTTCCATGTTTTATGGGCATATCCCATAGGCGTAATGGTTTTTATACTGTACAGACCGTATATTCTATTGCCCTACACCAACCCTACCCCTAAACCTACCCCTTACAGGAAACTTTGTGCATGTTTACTTTCTCAAAAAAAACTCATTCTGTATGATTTATAAGCTTGTTTCCTCATGAGGACCTCAAAAATGTCCCCACAAGGTCAACATTTACTAGTATTACTATCCTTGTGGGGACATTTGGTCCCCATAACATGATAAATACCAGGTACACACACACACACACACACACATTTTAATAATATATTCATGAATAATACTGTACATTTGTTTTGTAACAACAGATAATGTGCTTTAATCTGAATAGTATTCACGTTTTTTGTGCATTTTATAATAATACCAAAAATATGTTACCAGTTCATCTCTAATTTTAATCTTATATTACATTTGCATGTGCAAAATATGTATGCAAAATATGGACCTTGATAAATGTACACGTAGGCAAACATTACTTTTAGATTATCTCATGTTTCACAATGATTTAACTAGGATAATCTTGTACCATATTAATATATAAAAATACAAGGAGTAAGAAAATATATTCTATCGTTATCAACAACATGAAGTGCATTAAACATTATGTCAAAGTTCCCCAAACTGGGTTTGTGAAGGAACTGCAGGGGGTTTATGAGTTAAATGAAAAGCTAATATTTAATGAAATCATAAAAATGTTAAACAATTTTTTTTAACTAATCAAAATCAAACACTTACTGGAAACATGAAATATTGTATTTGTTTACTTGCCATGTGAACATAACCAATGTCAGAGAACCATTAAAATGCAAATGTGATACTTCATTATTAAAATATTTATTTTAAAATCTCAAGGGTACTTCAAATAAAAATATATTAGGCGAGGATCATTATATTAGAGGATCAGATGACAAAAAAGTTGGTGAATTAGCATTCTAATGTGTTTGAAAGAGTAAAAGTAATACATGGTAAAATAACCGACTGAGTGATAATTCAAATAAAAATGAATGTGTTCTTCAGTAGTTAAACCTGAAATGATTTTTTGTAAATCCAATGGTCAAATGCTGTGTAGCCGCCTGACTGACTGATCTGTTCAAAACTGGAAGACTTTGTTATTTTTATTATATAAAAATGTATATAAAAATTCTGTGCAATCCAATTGAATATAATCTTATAATATTATATATTGTTACATAGCCTATCATAACATTTAAATTATATATTATAAATAACATTTATTAACATATAAATTAGTTACCACTCTCAAAAATAAAGGTGCTTCAAAAGGTTCTTCACAGCGATGCCATAGAAGAACCATTTTTAGTTCCACGAAGAACCATTCAGTTAAAGTTTCTTTAAAGAACCATCTCTTTCTTACCTTTATAGAATCTGGAGAACCTTCTTTCGCCCCAAAGAAGCTTTTGTGAAACAGAAAGGAGCCATTTAGACAAAAAGGTTCTTCTATGGCATCGTGAAGCACCTTTACTTTTAAGAGTGCACTGTGCAAAAAAGCATAAATATGTATTGACTAATTGTTCTTGAACACTCTCACAAACCAAAAATAGTAAAAGTTTTGGTTCGTAATCTGTACTGTAGGATGATTTTAATCCTACGGTACATTTGCATGCAAAATCGGGACCTTAATTAACACATGTAGGCAAACATCACCCCAGTAAACTCGTTTTGTAACAGCGTGCTGCCATATTGTGGTTTAATCCGAATGCATCAAATAAGATCAGGAGGTCTCCTGCTGTTACATAAGTTCATAGTCTTTCAAGACTAACTCCTTGTGTGCCAACTATCAAATCAAAAGACGCTTCAGCTATAATCACTTTGTCCTCTTTAATCCTCAGTTGAGTTTAAATAGCCGACAGTGCCATTATCCTGGTCACAGTTCGCAAAATGGGCAATGCTAAAAGTGGAGCGCTTTCCAAAGAGCTTCTGGAGGAGCTGAAGATGAACACCAAGTACAGCGAGGAGCAGCTTTACGCCTGGTACCAGAAGTTCCTGAACGAGTGTCCGACGGGCCGCATCAGCCGGGAGCAGTTTGAGAGCATCTACGCCAGCTTCTTCCCCGACGCCGATCCCAAGGCTTATGCTCAGCACGTCTTCAGGAGCTTCGACGCCAACAGCGACGGGACGCTGGACTTTAAAGAGTACATTGTGGCTCTGCATCTGACATCCTCAGGGAAGACCGTCGAGAAGCTGGAGTGGGCCTTCGCTCTGTACGACGTAGACAGGAACGGCACCATCACCAAAAACGAGATTCATGAAATAGTCAAGGTGAAAACTAGCAAATTGTAGTCCATTACTGATTACATGACGGAAATTGTAGTTTGTAATGTAATCTATTGGATTACACATATTAGGTGATGTATTCTGACTACCGTTAGATTAATTTTGATTAAAAAAAATGCCCTGTGTGTGTAGTTCCCTAAAACTGGAAGGCTTTCCAAATAAGTAGTAGAATGCTTTAGAAAGGAGCATGTAATCAGTTACTACCCAGCACTGATTGTAATGTACTGCCATCAGAATATGTACAGTCTCTCTGCTCTTCTTTGCAGTCAATATTCAACATGATCTCCAAAGAAGACCAGAAAAACCTTCCGGATGATGAGAATACTCCTGAAAAACGAACAGATAAAATTTGGGACTTCTTTGGGAAAAAAGAAAACGGTAAGCGAGTTTTAGTATGCGTTGCGTTATAAATGTGTGACAAAGATACATCCCCTTTAACAGAACAAGCTTTATTGAGTTTTGAAGCGTACATTTTCTCTGTATCATCAGGTAAAATAACAGAGGGCGAGTTCATTCAAGGAGTTATGGACAATAAGAACATCCTCCGTCTGATTCAGTTTGACGAACCACAAAAGGTCCAAGAGAGGCTCAAAGAGAAGAAGCAATAATGCTTGTTTGTTTTTTTAATTGCTGCTGGTTTGCGTTTTACTGCTATCTGAATCTTTTGTTTCATGTGTGCTGTAATACTTTTGATTTCTGCTGTTATGTGTTGACCAAGATTTCAATACAATATGTGCCATGAAATATACATGTAATAATGCTGCAGTAGAAAACATGAAACGAAATGGACAGTTAAAAATGGAAAAGCTGGATATCTAGACACTGAGTTACAGTGAAATACACAGATACAATCAGCCCTCTGGCAAAAAAGGGTCAAAGACGCGGTCACATTCACAATCATCGCCGATCATGTGCTGTGAAACCACATGCAAATTATGTAAATAATCCACAACTTTGCTTCACACTCATTTGCTCATGAATAAAATGCTATATGTAACAGTGATGCAAACGCTTTCATTTTAGTATTCTACTAGTACTACTAATAGTATACATGCATACACTATACACTAGTATACTTGCATAAAAATTAAGACACCGAGGGTTTTTCCAGATATGGGATTTTCCAATAGGCCGTTTGACCAAATAAACACACAATGAGGGAGAAATTTGTTAATTAATTTTGTTAATTTAATTGCACTGCCTTTGCAATGTAAAAAAAAATATTTTTAAACACATTAAAATGCAGATTAAGATGCAAATCAATGTGTAATTAAAACAGTGGCTCTCAACTGGTGCATTTTGACAAAAAATGCAAGAAAAAAATACAAATCTAAATGCAATAAATTGCATTTAACAATATTATCTAGCATAGTTAGGAGAACAAATTTGATAACATTACCACTTTAGCATATTGTTGGATCTATGGCAACGTTAAAGGGGTCATATGATGTTGCTAAAAAGAACATTATTTTGTGTATGTGGTGTAATGAAATGTGTTTATGCGGTTTAAGGTTCAAAAAACACGTTATTTTCCACATACTGTGCATTATTGTTTCTCCTCTATGCCCCGCCTTTCTGAAACGCGTCGATTTTTACAAAGCTCATCTAGACATGTGGGGGCGTTTAAACGAGGCGTTTTAGGAGGGCGTGGACCAGTCTTAACTTTTATAAAGAATATCTCTTTGGGTTTGAGACTTTAGTCTTTGCAACTTTAGAGATCTTATCTATTCACAAACAGCTTGTAACACACCAAAGAGAAAGGAAAACTTGAAATCGCATCATATGACCCCTTTAATGAATTTCAAGACATTTCTGTGGCATTTATACATTAGTTTTGGTTCTGTATTGAGTCACCACCTATAATGTCCAATGTAAAATCTTAGTTGTGAATCAAAACCAGTTGAAAACATTTGATCAAGATAATGAAGCAGGTTATATATCGTATTAGAGCATCATAATCCCTGGGCTGTTTTCAATCACAGTCCTTCCATGTTTTCTCTACTCTTGTTGTTCAATGAACTAGTGTTCAATAAACTAATGTTTAAATGTTTAATTTGACCAACAAAATTAATTTGTAGAGAATTTCAAAGCTTGGATTGTGGAGTTCCATCCAAACACCTTGCATTATATACACATACAAAAATCAGGTATCAAAAACATCATGGAAGCCATTTACAGTGGTTAAAGTATATATATATATATACATAAACACATGACCTGCAAATATGGTTCTTTCATGTAATTTGCTGTTTATCTTAACATTGATTTTATTGAGATTAGAGCAACAGATTTTTTTAATCATCAATTATTAATTCATATTGACAACGTTTGAAAGCTTTAATACTCAAGATTCATTAATTAAGGGCCAGAAGTGGTGCTAGGGGTCTGTAATATATATATATATATATATATATATATAAAATAAATAAAAATTTTTAAAAATCTCATCAGTATGGAAAAAATTTATAGATATTCTGCATCATAGGTTTTTTTTTTTTGTGGTACATGTGTAGTTATAAATTCCAAAGAATTTCTCATTTTTTAATTAATAAAAAAATGGGTAAATGCAGTAATAACATGGCACTAACATAGTAGTAACATTTAAAATTTAGAATTTTTTCTTGTCACATTCACTCATTATTGAGAAGTTGCTGATGAGAAATTATAAAAAACAGAACAGGAATGTGAAAATAGTATGAAGATTTTAAATGCATTATGAGGGTTAAAGTTCAAATATCTTCACCAAACGTACCTCTCCATTTGCAAAGCAGTACAGCATTGCAACTAAAAGACCCTGTTGAACAATAAAGCTCATGGTTAGAGGTTTTGGTGAGGCAAAATACAATATAAAAATTATTTTTCAAAGTTGTACATAAAGTTTACAAAGTTTAAATAAAAAAAAAACTATTTCATTTTTTCAAATGTTTTTTCAAACACATAATTCAGTGAATTACTTGCCTTTTCTCTGTAATCACTGGTGAAATTTAAAAGCAATTTCTGAATAAATCAAATTTTTTTCAGTATTCTAATCAGAAAGAAAAAACAAGCAGTCACCTGGAAAGAGCTCAGGGTCAGATTGACGAAGTTTCGAGCGTAGCGGCTGCTTCCCTCAACTGATTCGTCTATAATTAAGGTAAAGACGATTTCATGGACCCCGAGCAGAGGAATCAACACAAGCGTTGCTCTGGCTAGACTGAGAAAAGGATGCAAATCACATGAAATGAGTCTTGTCACCATCAGTTTTATATGGACAAACATATTTCAGATAAGCAGTGACTAACCTGTATCTGTAGTCAGTGAACTTCACCTGGTCAGCCTTTAACTTGGACAGCAAAAGTCGGATGATTTTAAGAAAAATGCAAAAAATGACCTGAAAGACAAGTGAGTGTATGATTATATCAACATTTTACTTGTGTTTGATTCACATTTCCTTATAAGTATCTTTTTTTGAGCAGGACTGAGTGATAATTAAGTACTGATTTTTTTTTATTACTCTATATTTAATCAAAATTTATTTAATTTCACTTCACGTTTATTAACTGACAATCCACCAATTTTTTTTTAGCATGATTGGGTGTTAATGAAGTTTTGATTTTATTAGTTTTAATACCCTATGTTTCATCAAAATGTATTTAATTTTACTGAATTTTGATGCATGTTTATCAAGCAACTATTCAGTTGTTATTATTTAATACTCTAAATTGCATTAAAGGGGTCATCGGATGCAAAATTCACTTTTACATGTTGTTTGAACTGAAATGTGTACACAACCACCCTATAATGCTAAAAATCCACCCAGTGCTTTTTTTTAAAAATCTCTATAAATCCAAACCCCTTTCTCATATCGAGCCGATCTTAGATTCTTGGCAGAATGATGTAGTTCTGCACAGGCCCCTCCCACGATTGTTGATTGACAGTGGCGTCAGTCTTTGGTTTTATCACAGTTCC